CGGGGGAAGGGAAATCAGAGCACCGGGGGTCGCTAGAGGTGGCGCAGTGGAATTCCCGCGGACATAGTCGATTCTCCGTGTGACAGGGGTATCGCAGCCTTAGGAGTTCGTTTATCCAAGGGGTGAAGTACTCGGGGTAGTAGGATTAGTCTGAGCTCCAAGATCGCGTCATGGTGTCATCGTGTACGGGATAGTTGTGGTCGGGTTATCGTCACCGCGCACGAGCACGTGTAGAACAGGCGAACTTAGTTGCGCCTCAGCGTGCTCGTACGGGATGATGGTTTCGCCAGAAATCTTTTTTTTGGTGGACGAATCGATGCACGGGGATGTATGTAAACGGGCGATTTGGATCGTGTTTACACGGGTCCTCGCGCGACGTTCGCAGGGCTCGAGTGCCTAATGGCTCCGTAGGTTCGGTTATGCGAGATGTGACCACACCACAATCTAAGCAACAACAAGAACAAAATCACTATCGGGGCCAAGTTCTTATCCCCTCTACAATTGTATCAGGCGAAGATTCGACACAAACAAAAGCAAGGACAAGGATTTTCAGCCAAAGATAAACAAGCAGGCATAGCATCCATACATCCATACATTCAGTAATCATACATATAATGCAATCGAGATGGAAATTGCAAAGACAAGTGTGAGCAAAAACCCAAGTCCAAATTCCAGAAAGCCGAGACGAAAACAAGAACGAGCGACCGCCCGGAGCCGCAATCAAAATGTATGTACACAGATGAAGAGGGGGAAGAGACAAAGAAACAGCAAATCCGCGTCCATCGACCTCAACTCTCTCTCCTCTTCTCTCTCTTCTCCGATGCGGACAGTCCGTCGTCACGCACCAACCCACAAAGTCGTCACCCCGCTTAGTCCTCCCGCACCCGTCGGATTCGCCCGTGCCCATAGTCCGTCGTGACCCACGTCAATCCCGCGCGTTCAGCACCAGCCCGTCGGGTCGCCCAACTCCTACTCTACTCACCTCTTACTTCGCTCGTGTGCTGACCATTCCTGATCGCGCAACCCCGAGCTTCCAACAACGGGTTAAGAGAGCTAACTAATCGTGCAGCCGGAATTTATAGCGTGCATGCATGCGCGAAGAGCATGGAATTACCAAGACTTAGAGGGGAGATTAGAGAGGGATTGGCTACGTTCTGCATGACCGGGCCGCGACGTGGGGGACGTAGCCACTCTCCACGCATCGATCTGAGCATGCAGTCCGTAGTTTCAAAAAAGCAGCAAAAGAAAGAGAAAGAGGGCGGGAAGGACGAAGAGCAAGAAGAAAGATACAGTGACAATGGCGCCAACCCAAGATTACAGTTACACACCCGATTCAAGGCGCCGACTAATAAAAATTTAAAAAAAAAAAAAAAAAGAAGCACATAAGCAAATAAGGGCCCCGCGCGGCAAGAGAAAGTCCTAATTACAAAATTCCTAAATTCCTTTTTTTTTTTTTTTTTTTTCATTTTTTTTTCTTTAAAAAAAAAAAAACACCCCCGCCGCTGGTAGTGATGCTGATAAGAGCAGACACCACTTCCTGTTGGGGAGAGGCTCCATCTATTGGTGGGGAGAGTCACCTGTTGGGAAACAGGTCCAGCGTCCCTTATACAAACTGAAATCATAACAAATTCGAACCAATTCGTGGGTCCCTGTCAGCATTGATAACCCCGGACCCCAGGGGATTGACTGAGCAGGTCGTTGGCAGAAATAAAAGGGCTAGAAGAAGGTCTGCCACTAAGCAGGCTGTGGTAGAAGATGACTGAGATGTATGCTGCCCATAAAGGGTTGAATGCTATCTTCAGGAGATGAGAGCTTCCGTCAGGAGTTCGTCTATGTGGAGTGCTGAGCTGCAGGGCATAACCATATGCCGCTGCAGGACTGGTTTTCTTGAATGCCTGAGGGTCCACTTCGCTCGACATCTGACTGATTCGCCTGCAGGCCTGGAATACCTCATTCTCCATCCGCCTTCCTGTGTCCGGGCAGGGGTCCGGGAGGAACACCGGGGGGCACCGGAGTTTCCTTCCGTACCCTTGCCCATCATCTTTCCGCAAGAATCCACCCCCCCCTTTTTTGACACCAAGTGATGCCTAGAACAAAAGTTGTTAGAAGTTTGTCATTCCTGTCGTGGAACCGTCCCCCCAGGCTGTGACACAGAGCGACGCCAGATCAGAGTTGATGGGGCTGCAACCGCAAAAAAACAGACTGTGCCCGGATGAAAGAGCCCGGTTCAGAGCAAGCGGGGAGGGCAGCGTCACCTCTTGGCCGGGATTGGGGGGATGGCCATGAAGGATAGAGGGGAGCAGGAATGACTACATCAGGAAAATATCAGGAAAATTGGATTTGACTGCATCTTATATGTGTTATATATGTAACATGTTAGTCAGTTACAGGAACACACTTCCAAGGCATATGGGTGGGGGGGAAATGGGTCTGGGAATTCTTCGGCCGGGCGCATAGGGATATTGGGATCCACAGTCAGCCATTCCTTAAATTTAAGGTAGTAGTCCCTAGGCAATTGTTCTTGGAGATCGCCCTCCTCCCCCCCCTCTCCCTCCCACGATCCTGACCAATGTACCTCCGTT